GGCTATATTTGTAAATAACAGAAAGTTCCAACAGTGAGGAAGGAGTATCAAAGCAGAGCCTTTAAAAGGTGATCTTGCCATGTCATATAACTCCTGTGCATTCGCTCCCCTGCCACCTGCGGAACAGACACCGGTGAGCCAGCCAGGGGGGCTTCATTGGTGGTGACTTTGATTTATTTGCTCTGTAAATTGGGAGCAAAGCCATAATGGAAAGTGACAGTAATTGTTTAACCGGTTCCTCTTCTTCACATCATTTTCCTTCTCTGGGGCATTTGATGGTGGAAACTTGTACGAAACCCATTGACGTGGCCGAAATGAGGGGTAGGGTCCCCTCCACTTTATACATTAGGAGAAGCTGTGTAGCTCCCCTCATTGAGAGGTCATCAGCAAAGATCACACATCCCGCCCCCACACCCACACCCAGCCTCCTATAATTAAAGAGAACACAGAGGGTTTGAAATGATAGCATGTTTTTTCTTGCTTAATTCACAAAGACCTTACCAAAAGAAATGATGTTGAAGTGTCTCTCTAAGTCACCCACTGGGTTATAATAAAATATTTAATCTTTTCTAAGGGACATGGACGGTAAATAATCTGGATCGCCCTGCCAGTATCTGCTGGTTTACTACTAACCCACCCAGCCCACATACACTAAAACACACGCACGCACGCACACACACACACACACACACACGCACACGTACGTACGTACGCACGTGCACACACATCTCCCATTCCACAAGCCCCCTACCTCCCGCCTCCACCCCCCCACTGTGGTTCTAAGAGAGAGGAGAATTAACAGAGTTGGTGGTTTAATCAAATCTTGTAAATTAATGATGACATTATCAAGCGCCAATATTTCTGCCATTGGATTTGTTATACATTCACCCGGCTTATTAAAGGAATAGGAGAAAACGAGTTAATTTCAATGTTCTTTGTCATTTTGACTTGATTGGAATTACCATAGTTTGTTTGCATGAGGGATAGAATGAAGGCACTATTGTATTATGCGATTGAAAGTAAATAGAGGCTTGTAATATTGCTGGGAAGCCAAAGACAAGGTTTAAATCAGAATAAACAAAATGAATCATTTATTGGTAAACAGCCTTCACTCATTTTCATGAACTATTTGAGCTTCAGGAAAAAGTAAGCCTTAAAAGAAAACGTGGATTCCTAGAGAAAATATTCAATTTAAAGATTGTGTGTGTGCGTGCGTATATGTGTTACATATATACAAGATATATTTCCAAAGACTATTGGATTAGATACTATAGAGATACTTACATGGATTTAAATGTAATTATTGTGATCATTTAAATGATATCTATTTTATTGAGCTATAATTGTATTCAGAGCAAACAAGTCAATCACCTCAATTTGGTTTGTTTTTGTTTTTTAATGTGTCAGGGAAATCTAGAATTAAAAAGAGGGCGATTGGAAACTTTGCCTGCAGATTATGATCCGAGACAGAAAAGCACTTCAATGTTTGTATTATGAGGCTCACATGAATGGGGGTGGGAGTGAGGTGGGCAAGTTGGATTTTGGTGAACAGGCCAGTTTGGGGAGCCTCCCTGAAATTAACTATTCATTTTTCCGACTAGGATTTACCCTCTTGTCATAGAGTCTTCAAACTTATACCATTGTCATGCTACCTACATGGGGCGCCCAAACTCCTTGACTGACAGCCTCAAGTCCAGGGCCATTTGGATGGATGCATTATACAAATGCAAAATTGCCCATGGAGAGTGCCAATGGCTCTTTGTGGCCTCTTGAATCAGAAAGAGGGAGGAGGCTACGGTTTTATTCTTGGATAGAGGCTGATCAGTAATGAGGGGAAAACAATTTTTATGTGAAAATAGAATGCATACGTGATAAAGGCCTGCCTAATTTCTCTAGTAATACAATTTGATTTTCTGATTAGCTGTCTTATTCTGTGATTCTTGTAATTTTGTCAGGTCAATTAACTGGAGTTCAGTGCTAGAGAGAAAGGAAGTGTGGGCCCTGCTGGCTTCATTAGATGTCAGCAGCTTAGGTGCATTTTGTAATAGAATCTGTGTGGGATAATTTAGCCGATATTGTTAATGTCATAGCATGCAGAACTTATATTAAAAAAAAAAGACTTATGAAGAAAGTCAAATTGGACAAACAATGTGAAGTGCTAAAAGACAATGAAGAGAAGTAAACCCTGTTCTGTGCAGCGTCTATTGTAGGTAATAAATGCAGATCAGTGACTGATTCAGCAAGTCACCAGTGGATAGCCATACTGTATGTCAACTCGGAATTATAGTGGTTCAGGTGTGTGCTAGCAAAACCCCAAAAGTCCTGCTGCAAAGTCATAGAAACCTTCATCAGACAAAATATCAAAATGGGAACCTATGGTTTCTTGACATATCCTCCATCTTGCCTACATGCTTCTGAAGGTAGTGTTTCATTCTAACTAACCCTTACCCCTGGCCAAAAATATCAACATTCTTCAATATATTCCACTTCAAAAGTGTCATTCAGGCTTCCTTGAGGGACTCAAACATTGTGTCCATTTTAATGCTCTTTGAGTTTGGGAAACAAAACAGGAAGTCTGAAAGGTCCAAGGTGAGGCGATCGTGAGGATAAGGTCAAGTTCCCAACAAAAATCTTGTCGGATAGCCCTGCTGCCCCTGAAGAACGAGCAGGTACATAGTTTGATGTCAAACAGTTCTTCTGTGCAACTTTCTTTGTCTTTTTCTCACCAATACTTGTGGGCATCTGGGTTCTTTGAAGAAAAAAAAAAAGATCTATCAAGACCACCTCTTTGGAGTCCCCCAATAGTTGCCTGCACCCCCTGAAATGACCTCTCTGCTTAGAAGGACAAGATGAAGGCAAGTGTATGACTGAAAGAACTTCTCTGCAGGATTCCACTGATCACAGGGGCAAGTTGCACTTAAAAATGTTTTCATTTGGCAGTTCCACATGAGATATCCTGCTAGGCATTGAGCTGGAACGCTAGGAGCAATACATCGTGGGTTCCCCTTGTCTCCTATGGCATGTGGCCCTATGAACAGGGAGAGTCCCTGGGTGCTGAACATGGCTGGCATCCTGCTCACCTGCTAATGTGGGGGTTCAAAGCCACCCAGAAACACTTCAGAAGGAGACAATTTCCTTCCAAAAAACCCCCAAAACCCACCAAATCAGAAGTGCTAAACAACTCACGGGGCTGCCAGGAGTCAAAATCAACTCACTGGCTCTTGTTTTGTTTTGCTTTTGTTCATTAGCAAGGTTGTTCAACTCTGGTTGGGGAGTCCTTGAGGATTTTTGCATGGATTACTGAACAAAATCTTCTGGTATTTATTTTTCATAATGAATCATTTACAATCACTCCCTCCTGACGGTAGGTTCTTCGGGGCAGAGTTCTGTCTTGCTTCCCTTTGCATACGCAGTACCTCTCATGACCTCGGACACAGAGGAGGTTCTCCACAGAGTGCCTGCACTCATTCTCCGAGGCTGCGTGGATGAGAACCAGTCTGGGAGGTGGGAAACAAGAGAGCAGGGGTTCGCAGAAATGTCTTACAAGTTATGCGGCAGTAGGATAGTACCTGTGGCAGGGAGACATAAAATACCTTGAGAGGCAGGAAAAGTAAAACTGGATTTAGTGATGGACCAGATGAAGAGGAGGTCAGGTTGGTCAGTGTCTAGGTCTGAAGAATTCCTATCCAGAAGTAAACAGAGATGGGAAGAGTACTTTCATTTTGAAAGGCCTTCCATTTGATTTTTGGATGATGAGGTAGAAAGTGTCCATGATTAGGTAGAAATGGCCGCTAGGCAGTGAGGGATGCATGACTCAAGATGGGGACAGATGTCTAGAAGAGAAATGTGTGCTCTTGGTATATGCCATCTTGAGATTGAAATTGAATCTATGAAAATGTGGATAATTTCTCTTGCTATAGTTTCAATGGCTGCTGGTATTCAAAGAGAGATAACCTGAGTATTTTTTTAGGGGTATGTTGTAACAGAAGTGCCTGGGTGGTGCAAATGTTTTGAACTTGGTCATTGATGATTAGAATCCATTTAACAACACCACTGGAGAAAGGCCAAGTGGTCTGCTTCCATAAAAATTATCCAAATGATTAAAAAAACCAAAACAAACCAAAACCACTGCTATGGAGTTGATTCTAACTCATACATAGAGGATCCCCAAGGCTATAAATCTATGGGAACAAGAAGCCTCTTCTTTCTCCAGAGGAGCAACCGTTGGTTTGAAGCACCAACCTGGAGGTTAGCAGTTCAATAAATAGCCAACATCGCCACCAGAGTAGGGCAAGAATATTTATAGAGTCGCCATTGAAACCCCACGAAGGGAACCTCAATGTATCGTGGTTAGGAGTTGGACTGTGATCCACAAAGTCAGCAGTTGGAAACCCCCACCCACTTCTTGGGAGAAAGATGAGGCTTTCTATTGCTGTAAGGAGTTACAGCTTGGGAAACCCACAGGGGTGGTTCTACCCTGTCCTAGAGGGTTTCGGTGAGTTGGCATCAATTCAGTGGATGGCAGTGAGTTTTGTTTTTGTTTTGTTTAACCCTATGGCATTCAGTCCTACTCTGTAACACACAGGGAATGGAATCAACTCAAAAGCAGTGGGAATGCTAAAGAGGAGCAGCAAGGACAGTAACTGAGAATGAAATAGAATTGATGACGGAAAAATCATCTTAATCCCTGTAATTCTCTACATCAACTTATGGAAGCTGATTAAACAAAGAGAGTCATGCATATATGACAGTATTAAAAACACATGGGCACTAACTTACCTCAACACTCAGGGTTTGATAACACAAGGCATCAATAAATGATGTGATCTGGCCCAAGGCGAATTTGTCATGTGAGAGAGTCATAATTCTTGTGGGGTCTTTCCTGGGCATTCATGTTTCATAGAAAAATCTACTTGTTTGGTTACACGTGTTTGGCCTCAGCTGATCAATGACATAGTGTCCACCCACACGTGTCTTCCTTTGTTTCTCTGTTTTTGCAGAAGATAGATGAAGAGAATGAAGCAAACTTGCTAGCGGTCCTCACAGAGACACTGGACAGCCTCCCCGTGGATGAAGACGGATTACCCTCATTTGATGCACTGACAGATGGAGATGTGACTACTGACAATGATGCTAGCCCTTCCTCTATGCCTGACGGCACCCCTCCACCTCAGGAGGCAGAAGAGCCATCTCTAGTAAGAACCCTTCCTACTGTTTAACAGCCATCGGTGTTGCCTCTGGCTACCCGCTGCGTGGGTCTGATAAAGGAGCGATAAGGTTTGGATTCTTAATTTAGACTGATGTCAGAACAATCCCTAGCACACCCAGGATTGCATATCCTGTGACTCTCTGTTTTAAAATGTCGACAACAGTATGTGGTCTTGTAGAATCTTTTTGAAATTCTGTTGATCTGCGTGTGTGTTTACGTCTCATCCTTCATGTTCGCAATAGAAATAGAGAGAGCTCAGAGCACCAAGTGGAGGAGACTAAACTCTCACCTGTAATTTCAAATGACTGCTTTTTCGGTTTCCCTTTAAAATCTGTCACGAACATGCTATGGATTTCAATATAAGCATGGTTTTTAATGGCCCATCATCTCCATGTTCAGAGGGGTTCTAACTCAGTGGGTAATCCCTTCTGGTGGGATATTTACTGGTTTCCCATATTATTTCTCACTATGATCATGTGTGTAATAATTAACACATGCACCATTTTAGACATAGGCATGTCATTCTGGAAGTGGAATTGGTAGGTCAAGGGGTATACAATTTAAAGGCTTTGGATTCATATATCTTACAGAGATTAGAAAATAATAGCACATTTGCAACACAACTTGCTTTAATTTATGATATGCAATGATGAGTGAATTTGTTGGCAGTGAAGAGGGAATTTCTGTTTCAATGTAGGGCTTGTCTGGAATTTTATTAGTTCTAAGACCCAGTTTACCTTCTCATCTATGCTAGCCATTTGTCATTTGCTATAAATTTGATGTAAGAGCTTGCTGTATACATTATGAAATGCCATCCTCCAAACGGCAGTAGTGGGATTCCATGCCATTGAGAAGCTGCTTTTCTCACGCCCCTAAGTTATGAGATGTTCAATCCTCCTACAGGAGCCCATGAATACCCTACTCAGAGTCTCTGACCTGCTGAGCCTTTCTAGTGGAAAGGATAACACCTGACGAGTAATCACGATCAATTTCGTCCCACGTGCTCCCCCACGTGCTCATGCCATTGCTCTGTGGTCCAGCGCCCAGATTTCTCTAGATTTGACACCAGAAGCTGTTCAAGGGGGTGAGGTTACTGACTTATTGACATAGTACATTTTGGAGCAGAGAGACCTTAGAGTGTAGCAAGTCAGGACACAGAGATCAAGTCACAAGTCAGGAAACGGCAAGGAAACAGAGATCCAGAGAAAGTGGGACCTTTAGCTGACCTTGACCAGTTGGAATCAGATTCTGTATCTCTCCATTTACAGGCCAGAGTCCTACCCATTTCCAATTCGCTGTCTTTGTCAAATCAGCAATCCATATTCTCTCATCCAAACATTTTTTATATGGCTTAATTTTGAGACGTGTTTATGATATTTTATCCTAAGCCTCCCAGAATACTTCACTTATTGCCACTTGATTCATTTGAGTTTTTTGAAGGGTAAATATGGGCATATGCAAGGGGTTTCAAAAAGTTTATGGAGAACTTTCATTACCTTTTAATTTGTGTATATATCCCCAAATTCATTTCTATCAAGTCGATCAGATTCACAGCAACCCTATAGAGAGCTTAATTGACTAGTAAATGTTTACAGGTGCAGACAACCCATATATATATATATATATATATATATAAACTCATTTCCATCGGGTCAATTCTGACTCATAGTGACTTTCTTTAGGGCAGAGCAGAACTTCCACATCAGGTTTCCAAGTGTGCAATCTCTAGACAAGCATTTTGTCGCATCTTTCTTCCACGGTGACTGGTGAAACAAATGGTAGGACTTTCAGTTTTCAGTCCAGCACTTTAACCACCACACCACCACACCTCTATCTATGCATTTACTTAGCTATCTCTATGGTAGATAGATGGCTAGGTAAGGCGACAGAATGACAGACTATCTCCCTATCTATCCGTTGACCACCTAGCTAGTGCCCCTAAGTCTTCATTTAGCAAAGCACCTTTTCTTAGCGTTGAGGGAGATTCTTTAACTTTTATCTAAATCCTAGTGGTAAAAAAACAAGTCCCAAATATACAGGGACAAAAACCAAAACGTTTTTGTCACAATTGGTAGTGTAATGCCAAACTTTATTTTACCTAAATATGTGTGTGTATGTGTGTGTTGTTAGTCCTATGGTACTTCACCATGGCATAGTGCTTATACAATAGGCTGCTAACTCCAAGGTCAGCAGTTCAAAACCCCCAGAAAGATAGGGTTTTCTACTCCTGTAAAGAGTTATAGTCTCGGATGCTCACAGGGGGCATTTCTACTCTGCCCCTTTCGGTCATTAAGAGTTAGCATCGACGTGATGGCAGTGAGTTTGGTTTGGACGTTTTCGGTACTCCATATATCATTAAAGTGTGATTGAACACCTAAAGTTGTCCTCGTTGTTGTATTTGGCTCAACCATTTATTCAAAGCCTTTCAAAGACGCCTAACTTTAATGGTTTCTCTTCCTTTCCTGATATTTTTCCAGCTTAAGAAGCTCTTACTGGCACCAGCCAACACTCAGCTAAGTTATAATGAATGCAGTGGTCTCAGTGCCCAGCACCATGCAAAGCATAATCCCAGGATCAGAACAAACCCTGCGCTTGTTAAGGTACGGACTTCTTCACGCAAAGGTGGGGGCGGGAGGAAGGTTACCAGGGGGTTTCCAGGGAACTATATGTACGTATATATGAATTCACCTGAGGTGTGGCAGCTACTTCCCAAAGGGAATATAGATGATGTACTGGATTTCGAAGAACAGTCCCCGGACTCGCTAAAAGCAGAAAAGCTTCATTGCAGCGTTGTCTCGAGGCCGGCTCGGATACGAGGCCCACCGCCTCGCCCACTGGCGCACGCTGTTGCACGTGCAGCCGGGTGGGCTACGAGAGTCTGCCGATCGCCTGGCATGATCTGGGAGTGACTTGAAGCTGCAGGATTGCCTTTTTGCCAGCTGTCTAACCCGAGAACGATGGCTCTAAAATCACGGCGAAAGATCTGTCTCCGCCATTAATTGGATGGAATGCTGGCAATGCCATCATTTTGGTTAGCAGGCTGTGTTAAACAATATTTGTCTTGCCATTCATTGCCAGTGAAAACAGAGCGTTAAGGGGTACTTAAGAGAGTTGTGAACACTGGGCTCTGGCAATGAGCCACAAATTAAGGTTTAAAGCAGCTTTTGTCCCCACCTCCCAACCCCCATTCACTGTAAAGGTGCTATAGGGTTTTGTCCGTTACTTGTTGCTGAGTGGAAACATTGAAATGTAGGAGAAATTCTTATTTTTTTTAAAGCCGCATAAATGTCATTTAGGAGTTTTAAGTGTAATGTTCTCTCCTTGTTCGGCAAACAATTATTCACAGCTCATAGATCCAGTACACTTAGACTGAACACTTCATTGAAAAATCTCATCTCTTCAGAAAACCTCTATCCATTCTGATAAGGTTCAGGTCACTAATTCTAGCTTTCTCTCTGACTTGGGTTTGAAGACCGAGACTTCATGGAGCAATAAAGCGAAGAGCATTTGTCAACAGCAAAAGCCACAAAGACGTCCCTGCTCAGAGCTCCTCAAGTATCTGACGACAAGCGATGACCCGCCTCACACCAAACCCTCAGAAACCAGAAACAGCCACAGAGACAAATACCCCTCCAAAAAGAAGCCCCACGCCCCATTGCAGACACAGCACTTACAAGGTAAGTGGGCATCAAACCCACTGGGTGAAGTAGCCGGAGGCAAGGAAAGTGAGCCCAGAGGCAGAGTGCATGAAAACGGGGGTTTGCCACTTCCCTCGGGGGCACTTGGAGGAAAGAGAATTAGCTCTTTATTTTAGAGGGGCCAGGGGGGCGCGGAGAAGACCCTTGCCTGGCTGCAGGTTGAACATAACCTACCCAGATGTGTGCATTCAAACTGACAGTCTGCACAAGGCACCAGAAACAGGGTTGGGGAAGAAGGGATGTAGAAGGAGATACGTCATCAGATGAAATTGCCTATGAATCTCTTAATGACTGAAGTCATGGAAGTTCCCAGCAAGACGATTCCTGACAGAAGTTCTCTTTTGTTGATTTTCCCTTTCACAACAATGAAGAATTGTTGATGTGCTATCTATAATCTAAGAACTAATCGATTGCATTTATGTAGCCCCTTCTGATTCTGAACTTCATAGTATCTAGGAAATATATATGTGTGTTTGTTTTCTCTCCATTAAAATATATGTATATTCTAGATTGAATGAAACATCTGGGTTTGTTCGCATGATCTTCCTAGGTTTCTCGAAGGTGGTCCCTTCAGAGACCAGCTGGGGTGATTTAGAGGAAACATCTCTTGGCAGAGATCATTTTCCTTCGTTTGCCCTCCTCCGGATCAATATTCCCTGGTCTTAAAAGCCCCAAGGAGAGCCCGTTTGGGAGTAGCTCTTGCTTTCCAGCTGGGCTCTGAACCAATTCAAAGTGGTTCAGGCATGGACAATGGAGTGAAACCAGGGCAGACCTGGGTGAGCTAGCATACTAATAGGAATGGGGGTGGGGGTGGGGGCACCATGGGTCTAAGCCTTAGAATGGAAGACTTAGTAAAAGTAAGTGAGCCCTTCCATGAACCTAAGGAGTTACTGTCTGTCCGTGGAGAGTGATGAATTTGGCCACCATGGACTCTCCTCAGCTTGTCAAGAGAATTGATCGCCATGAGCCCTTCGCACTGCCTTTGTATTCTAGAATGGAGGAGTTTCCAGCAGGGCTTTGACCTACCGTTGTTTCCGTTCCATTCCATTCGGGTATCATGTCATTTGCCAGGACTGAAATGGGCTGGACCAGCATTCCAAGATGCCTGCTTCCTTTCACCCTACTAAGGACTGCAGAGAAGCGAGGCAGACTCAAAAGTACAGTTACAACCATCTCCCTCTTCCTAACGTTGGTTTCTCCTTACTCTCCCCTCCACCTGCAGAATTTCCACCGCCTGCCTGGTTTTGAGCCTTGCCTATCTCACACAGGCCTTCTGTTTTTGCTGGGGCTGTTATAAATTTGTCCCTCCTTCATCTCCACTTCACACTAAGCTGTGGGTCGTCAGGAACCTCCTCTCATTGTTTTGAAAAGGCCCCTGGTTAGGTATTTCCTGGTGGATATCTCAAATTCCCTCCTCATGTGTTTCTGCCAGTCCAGGGAAATGAATATCTTTCAAATTCTCAGCCAGCTTCCTGGACTTGCCCCTCGTCCTACCCACTGTAACAGTTTTGTCTAAGCACCAAACCCATCCTGCTGCGGGACGCCTCCACTAGCGGTGTTGAAGGCCTCAGGTGAAGGGCCAACAGCTGGGCTTGCTCTAGTGCGTGAACCCAAGCATTCTCTGGGCTCCTCTCCACACTTCCCAGTCATGCATTCACTTTCTGAGTTGGATTTTAAAGTCTCCAGCCTGAGGAAACCCTGGAGTCATTGAACCCAGCTCCACAGCACAGGCTTCACGTCTCCAGTGTGTGGTTGGTCCATCTGAACTTTGAGAGTGCTTGGGTAGTACCAATTGTTCATGCTGTGGGCTGCAGACTGAAAGGTTGGAGGTTCAGGTCCACCCAGGGGTACCTTGGAAGAAAGGTCTGGCGATCTATTCCCAAATGACCAGCTGTGGAAAACCCAACAGAGCACAGTTCTCCTCTGACCCTTTCAGGGTTGTCCTGGGCGGGAATCAGACCTGGAATCCACCCGAGGGCAATTGGTTTGTGTTTTGAGGTTTGTATTCTTTACATCGTTCATGGTTACCAATCTTCCTTCTTTGACAAAAACGAAACAAAAACCCACCCTAACAATCAGAGGCATTCTTTCAGAGTTCTCTGGGGGAGTAGACTGGAGCAGGTAAATCTGGCCTGGATCTGGGAAGGCACCGTTGCTCTCCCCTCCCCTCAGTCCCACCAGAACCTGCAGATGTTCAGAAAGCCATGCTGGACTCAAGATTAAAAGTGTGCAGGCCGAAGTGTGGAGCAGGCCCGGGAGAAGGGGTTCTGGGCTGAACCCTGTCCGAGTCCCCAGAGTGTAGTTCTGGGACAAGGCTGGCATGTTTGCTTGGTCCTGAAACATCCCTGTCTCGTGGGGTGTACTACAAGCAGAGCAAGGCTGAGGTGGGGGTCCCTGAGTAAAGGCCAAGGGCAGGGACCTTTCGGTCATCTGTCAGCCCCTTCTGGGGGATCTGACTGTCTGGCTGTATGTCCAGATTTGCTGAGTCTGCTTGTCAGACGTTTGCTCCTGTCTGCAAAGCAGGGAGCAGCCGTCATGGCACGCAGCCCCTGCCGTACTCCCTGGTGTGGGAAACGAATCACACTCTTTATTAAAACCATTTCAGAGTGAATTGAAGTCTTACAAAGCACATTTTCAAAAGAGGGACACACTTAACTACATTCGCATTAGCTTTCTCTCTAATGTTGATTACACTGGGAAAATGTCAGTCATAATTTGACAACTAAAGCTCTATTAGGACATTTCTTATGATTTCACTGAAGTCAGACCCCAAATGGATATGCCGAACAGCACCACCTTGCTGATTCTCTAAATCAAGAAAAATCTGCTGACTGGGGAGTGGTGCAAATTGCTTTAAATATTTATATGCTTTTTATTCATACCTGACTTCTTTGCGAAGTCCTGGTGGCATAGTGGGTTATGATAACCACAGGGTCAACAGTTCAAAACCCCCAACTACTCCAAGGGAGAAAGATGAGACTTTCTACTCCCATAAAGAGTTGCAGTCTCAGAAACCCATGGGGGCAGCTCTCCCCAACCCTATAGGGTCACTATGAGGTGGAATCAACTAGCTGGAAGTGATAGATATTTCTTCCTTTTTAGCTAAATTCCTTGAATCGGGGAGAATCCTAGCAAAACACATTTGTGTTTGTTGTCCTACGCCTGCCCTCACCAATCTAAAAGTTAAGCCTCCTTGCACCTGACCCGACCCTTGTGCGGATTCAGAGTTAAAGAGAATGCGAAACATGGCATGCCCAGCTTTATTACACTACAGCAATTATTTCCCAGTCTCCTTAATTAATTAATTCGGTCTTAATTACTCATAGGTGCCTCATATGTGCCTAACACCTGACTGGCTCTTGGAATGCCATGGTGAATGAGGGTCCCTGGCCTCATGATGTTGATAACCCGGGCTGTGTTTTCATGAGGCTGTGCTCGGCCAGCTGTGTTTGCTGCCTTTACTTCCCTTCCTGGCTTTCCGTTCCTCTCATGCTCGCTGCTGGAAGATAGCAACTATGAGCTACGTCAGGTCCGGTTTTCTTAGCTCTTCCCCCAGCCATGTGATTCTGGTCGACTCTATCCACCAGCAGTGGACACATATCCGAAGCTGTTGTTGCCCTGTGCCAGCAATGTGCTGCAGACACATAGTGACCCTTCATGACAGGGTAGAACTGCCCCATGTGGCATCATAGATTGACAGCTTTGTAATAGAAGATCGATGGTCCTTTTCTTCCTTGGAGCCTTTGAAAGAGAGACCTAATAGTAGCAGCTGCAGACTTAACCACTCTGCCACTTGTATGCCTATATCCCAGGGTCGGCCAGTAGAAATGTTTACTTGCTGGTTTTTTGGGGTTTCTTGTTCCTTGTTGTTAATCTGGGGAAAGTTATGCAGCAAAATAGTTTATCAATTCGAGAATTGTATGAGTTCTTCAAAAATGTATGCACCAGTCAATATGACCGTACCCAAACCACTGCCGTCAAATCAGTTCTCATTCAGATCAATCCGACAAGACACAGTAGAACTCCCTAGCATTCCAGGACTATAAATCTTTGGGAGTAGACAGCTTTATCTTCTTCCATCAGAGAGGCTGACGGGTTCAAACTGGTAACCTTGCAGTTAGTGGCCCAAAGGTTAACCTGCTCCGCCACCAGGATTGTGACAGTGAGGAATTAAATAGACTTGGCTAAGAAAACTTCTCACTTGAAGGATCTTTGCGTGAGATCATCCATCGGTGTGTGTTTTTATTTGGGTACGTGCCTGTGGCATCGCAGGAAAGGCCAACTTCAGGGCAAAGGCCGTTAAAAGGAAAAGCCACCAGTGTCCTGTTAGCATTAAAGAGCTAAAAGAACTAAAAAACCACAACTGCCTCATCAATAGCAGCATGGAATGCTCGGCTTCCTGGATTATTTAAATTATGATTTGAGATAAAAATAGGAAATGTTTGCAGTTAGAGGCAATAAGTCAGAGAGTCTACTATTGAAGCCACTTATTGTGCCGAACCTTTTTATTGTGTGCTAACTTTTTTCCTTCAAACTGAATGTGTAGTTGCTGTCGCATTGGGCGATGGATGTCCAGATCTTTTCAGTGCCTGTGAATAATTTTCTGATTGTTGCCCTTGATGGCTTTTCATTTAGTCATTTATCCACAAATGTTTTCAAGAACTCCATGATACATAGAAAAGATAGGTTTCTGTCCTCAAGGAGTGTACAGTCTCTGATCTCATGGTTATTGGACCAGTGTTTTGCTCATATTCTCAGTAAAACAAATCAACATTGCACTAGGTTAGCTTCTGAGGACTTGGGCTTCTCTGGGGATTCAGTTCTGTGTTGGATTTGAGGACTGTATCCTTCCTTTTAGGAGTCCTGGTTGCATAATATATTGGAGCCCTGCTGCTATAATTATACACATTGGGTTGCAATCTGAATGGTCATCAGTTTGAGACCACTAACCAGTTCCAAAGAAGAAAGATAGGGCTTTCGACTCCAGTGAAGCTGTACAGTCTAGGAAATTCACATGGGCAGTTCTACACTGTTCAATAGGGTCGCTATGAGTTGGCATCAACTTGATGGCAGTGAGGTGGTGTGATGGGCAATGCCTTGAGCTGCTAACCTCAGTCAGCAGTTCAAGCTCACCAGTTACACCATGGGGGAGAGAAGAGGCTGCCTGCTCCCATAATGATTTAAAGTCTGGGACGCCTGAAAGAAAGTTCTACTTTGTCTTCTCAGGTCATCTGAGTCAAAGTCAACTCAATGGCAGTGGGCTTAGTTTTTATTTTTCCATTAGCTTTCATGTTGTGTTTCATCCCATTAAACATGGCAGCTTCCTGGTCAATCGTATCTATACCTAATTATGAGAATTGGGAGGTGTTTCTTAGGCAGTCTGTGTAGCCTGCCCTGTGCCTTGAAATTTCAGTGGCTCATCCTCAATACTCGGTTGCTGTATGACATCATAATTAGTTCATATCTGGATGTATTGTCTGTAGACAATACATCTATATGCCCCACCGCCTCAAGTCAATTCAAACTGATAGAGACCTTCTACAACCTACATGAATCATCATCATTCAATTCAGCACCATGGCTTGTATTTTATGTGAGCGGCTCATTATTTCAGACATACTAAAGCATTAATGTCTAACCAGCTAATTTATCTGTATGTATGAAAAAAGTCCATCAATCAATGTACTTAATTTGTAGAAGACAGGGTGAGCTTTGTGTTTCTGGATGCACACTGGGCAGATGATATATGGTCAGTTGTCTAAACACTACATCAAAATTTGCAAGTTCAACATGTACATAATGTTTATCCAAGTAAAGTACCGCATTTCAGGCTAATTTGGGCATAAATAATAATTTTACATTTCAAGCATCCTTAATTATTAGGTTTGATTAATATATTTTTGTAGCTGTTAACTGTAATGCCTTTTGATAAGAGGAGAAAGGAAACATATTCTTGGTCAATTCTGCTAGCAACCAGGTGTATGGCCCTGGCAGTGTCTCAGACACTTCATAAGAATAAGAGTCTATTTTACAGACTTTTTTGGTTTTGAGTCTTTGATGTTAATCATATCATGACTATATCTAGACCATCTAGAAGAGCCATTTGAACAACAAAAATGGCAGAATTTAGTCAATTCTGACTCATAGCAACTCTGTAGGACAAGGTAGAACTCCCTCTGTGAGATTCCAAGATGATAACTCTTTCTGGGAGTAGAGAGCCTTATCTTGCTCCGGGAAGTATATCTCCACACATACAAATATGTTTTTCTCTATAAGCATATATAATATGTGGCTTTGTATCCCAAGTGTGTCTCTCATTATGTTTTCCCCTCCTTCTGTTCAAAATACAAGATTGCCGAGCAGAAGCAATTGAACTTTTGGAGTGAGAAGATTCTTACTCCACCCTTCATAATTGGGAAATGCCTCCCCGAGGAGGTAAGATTTAGGAAAGCTTAACAGGAAGCGCGAAAGCTCTCTTTGCAAGTCCCTAAGTTTACCTTAGCTGATAAACACAGCATCTGACGGTAGCTGTCCCACCAGTTTTAGAAACACGGACCCTTTCACACCATCTGGATCCATGCCTCCAACAGGCCATGATCTGTCCGTTCACTTTCGGTCAATGGAATAGTTATCGCTTGAGCTTTGCCCTCATAGAAATAACCTATTCTCGGGGCTAGATATAAAATGATACTTTTAGGAGTAAAGTCAACTGAATATTCATAATGTTCTGTTGCTTTGTAGTTCCTCCACTGTTTTCTTGTCTAAACAAACTGGGTAGGGGGCAGCAAATGGAAAGGGAAAACACATTTTCCTCTCTGAAGGCACGAGGCACTTTCTGTATCTTCTACAGGAACGGGACACTTTGGAGACAAATGGTAGCTTATCGATGCAAATGTGGTTTGGAGTGTGTTTGCCTGTTGTCTGACTGGGATCCAACATCCAGGGCGTTCCTTAGTTTAACCTCCCCGTTTTCTGGTTAGGTTTCCAACTTGACTGGCGTAGGAAGAAAATCAGCCACGAGGACACTCACTATTTCATAATTAGTTTCTTTTTTTCCCCCTTTAGCCAAACCAACAACTTTATCTCTTCCTCTGAGCCCAGAGTCTCCAAAGTAAGTATTAAGAAGTGTAACCATTTTCAGAGCGGGAAGGGGATTCTAATACATTTGGCTACAGCAACTCCATTTCAGTTTGTTTTTATAAATGTGCCATATCTTCCAGTGACCCCAAGGGTTCCCCATTTGAGAACAAGACTATTGAACGAGCCTTAAGTGTGGAACTCTCTGGAACTGCAGGTAAGCCTTGCATTTCACTTGGTTTTTCTGTTTTTTCCCCTGCTTGCTTGTTTGTAAAATATGTTGATGATACAGTGTTGTAGTATCTTCTACTTGAATGACAACCGGAAACACATAAACAAAATGGATAAGAGGTTATCTGTAACTGTGTTTGGTTGTTTATTGATTTTCGATTATGTGCACCGCATTTCTTGGGTGTCCAACTTGGGCCAAACCCTTGGATTTGAATGGATGGTCATGAAGGCATTGGGTCCTTCTAACAGCCCTATTTCTGATGTGGCTACTGAGTTTGGAATCACAAGAGGAATGAGCATTTATTGAGCTCCCCTCAATAAATGTGCCAGGCATGTGAGTGGTCTCCAGTGACTTTGTTAACAGCCTCTGGAGGATGGTGATCATGGTCTCATTTTGGAAAGGAGGACACAAGGTTCCAAGATGTTCTATAACCTGCTGAAGATCCCAGAGCTAGGAAAATAGGTGATAAGGTTCAACCCTATGCTGACTATCAGTGCTTCATTAGGAGTATTTCATACTCTCGGATCTCACCATTTTGTATGTTTCTGGCAAAGGAAGGGGGAACAACATGGCCATTTGTCAAAACAAAATGCCCAAATCCATTTTGGAGCAAGGGAAATTACCCTCAAAAGGTTGGACACCTGAGCTCATTTAGTCAGTCTTTACTTCACACACCAAAGAAGGAGAAAGTGCTTTGGAAACTTCCACCACCCTCTGAGCTACTTATTAATCTGAAGAGTTTCTTGACAGACTGCTGAGTAGGTTGTAAAGGGAGACTCTGCACTGAGTACTTGTGGGTGGGGTCCCTGAACCCCACCAGAAAGGGACTCTGAGGATGTGGGGACAAGAAATGTCTTAGCTCTGGCCACTGCTGATAAGGGTAAAGGAACAGTAGATTAAACAAGGTGCTTTCAACCAGAACTATGGTGCCTACACGCGCTGTGGTCATTGTCACTCAGCTTAATTTCACACTCTGAGTTTGCTAAATTAACTCCTTATGAAAGGTCTATTGCATGACTTGGTCAAGCAGTAGAGTAGTTAATTTCATGGTGTGTATCTGCATATGAGTGCATACTCACACAGACACGCACACACACACATATACACACAGAGATACATATTCAATTACAACCCTATATAATATAATTTCTTAAATAAATGATGATCCACATATATGATTGTAAGTAATATTTGGGTGTATATATCCTTCTTTTCTCATCTGACCAATGAGGGTGAAGTATGAATGAATGTATTAAAAAGGTCTCTTTAAACATATATACTTTGATAATTGAACTTTTACTTAATGTGCAGTTAAAAACACTCACTTTTGATAGGAGATAGAGCCCTTCCTCTGGAGCCTAAGTGTGCTAACTAGGAATCCACTCATCTTTCTCACCCAAACCACACTAATCACATTGTATAGTTGGTATTTACTTATTGTGCATTGGTCTTTGAAGGGAAGCAGTTAAAGACACTTGTGTGCTGGTACAAAATCCTTCTCAACTTGCATGATTTTCCTTTCACCATGCCCCCAAACCCATCCAGAGTATTTGTTGTCATGACGAAGGAGCCCAGGTGGCACTATAGTTAAAGCATTCAACTGCCAATGAGAAGGTTGCTGTGTTAAGCCACTGGCCACTCGGGGGGAAAGATGATGCTGGCTGCCTGCTCCCACAAGATTGACAGACTCGGAAGCCCTTGGGGCAGTTCTACTCTGTCCTATGGGGTCATTTTGAGAGCAATCTACTAGAGAGCATTGGATCTGGTTGGTGCTTTTGGATACAGTTCACATACATTTTATAGGATCTCCTTCATGGCGATACCTCTTTTTGAACTCATATCTCATTCATTTCTGTAACATTATATCATTCAATTACATCACATATTTTCACTTACCAGAACAATGGAGACGAACTGGTTTATGAAAATATACTAAACCGACTCTTTGGAAACAGCTGGACTGAGGCAAGAATGGCTGTGGTCATTAGTCACTCTGTGGTAAGAAGGATGAGAGACAGTCTGCTGCATACATCAGTGCCAGGCTTTTCATTGAAGAACCACCTTCTTATTGTTCTGAACTAATCCAATTATGCAATCATCTTATATAAACCGTAACGCATATGAGCTGGCCGAGAAATCTGTGATGGAAAGATACTAAATGACCTTATCTCCCTACAGATATGTTTATAAATTTGTGGTTATTCTATAGGCTGCCTATAATTCCTGCTGTTTCAATGAACATTTCAATTTTTTAAAAAGTTCATATCATCACACACCCTTCATTATCAGGACTTTACAGTGCTGTATAATATTGATGTGAGTAGGCACATGGCATTCATTCAATCCTAATTCTCAGGTTGTGCACTTAGGTGGTTTCAAAGCGGTGCCATTGTGAACAGTATAGAAACCTTTGTGCACCAAATGCTTTCATCGCATTTTTTCAAAACAGATTCCAGTGATTTATAATATTGGAGACACAGACGCAAAGATTTTGGAGGTTTCTGATACATCTTGTGACATTGCTCTCCACAGGAGCATCTCCAGCCATGGGCTAAACTAGGGCTAAAGTAGCTTCCTTGGGTAATTTCAGTTTTTGAGTGTTTTATTAATCTATGGATATGAGCATATCATTTAAGTTATGTTTCTGCTTTTGGTGAGATTCTGGTTGTTGTTGCTGTTGCTTTTAACATGTGTTTTTATTTTCTTCTTGACAGAAGTTTGAATATTTCTTCTAAAAAAGCAGTGTTTTAAATGACTTAGTTATCATTTTAAAAGCTTAAAAATACCCCAAACCCTTTTGAAAGGCAATGAGAGATTTGTAGAAGATACTTTTCATTACTTGGAAACCTTTCAATTGTGCACAAAGGGTTTATTTCAGCCAGCAGGCCAGCATTCAACTTATTTGTTTAAATGGTTCGTTCTTGAAAATATTAAAATCAATGGGGCACCATGAAAATCAATTTGCACAAGTTTTAAATATTCTGACAATATAACTTAACAGCAAATATTATACATAGTAATTAATCCATCAAAAAAATTCAAACCTAGTGCTTGGCCCCCCTAACCCCAAAGCTGAGTAGATTCCCATTCACAGTGAAGATTGCAAATCACAGTGAGGCTATAAAGGATTGCCAAGACTCTACATCTTAATGGGAACAAATAGCCTCATCTTTCTCCTAATAAGGGGCTGGTAGGTTCAAACTGCCAACCTTGTGATTAGCAGTCCAGTGCTTACCTGATATTTTTGTAATATGCATACAGTCATAGTACACACTGGTATGTTAAAGGAATAGATTCACAAAAATAATATTTAGCACATTTGCTATTTTTTGGTTACTTTATTTCATTACAAAGTCATATTTGCTTCTGTTTGAACTACTCTGCCTCAGAAAATATAATTGTATCAAAGGGCTACTGTTCAATTGTTTGGTCAGCTTGATGAACGTGTCTTTTTTATATGCACATACAATCCAAATATCAATATATATTGGCTTAGCCACACCCACAGCAATCAAGCTGATGCCAGCACCTAGTGACCCTCTGTAGGATTTCTGAGGCAAGCAATCTTTTCAGAAGCAAATAGCCTCATCTTTCTCCTGTGGAGCTGCTGGTGCTTTGAACCACCAATCCTGTAGCTAGCCATCCAAAGCCCATCCAACTGCACCCACAGGGCTCCTTAGGCTTGTTTCCCTCACTGCCATCAACTCTGTTCGGACTCACAGAAACCCTGAAGGGGAGAGTAGAACTGCCTGCCCCTGGACGTTTCTGACTGTAAATTTTTTGGACGCTGGTAGTTTTGAACCACTGACTTTGTAGTTGACAGCCCAACGTGTAACCCTCTACACCACCAGAGGTCTTGGCTTATTCCACAGCAGATAGTAAATAAATGATTCCTGTGTTTAAGACATAACCTAAGAGTCCATTGGGAAACTAACACACATTGCATAAATCGCACGAAACATAGATATTACTTGTATATATGTATTTGTTTACTTCCCAAGAAGAGTGGGCCCTAAGTGTGATGTTTAGTTTTGTTCATACAATGGAAATCAATATGAAGAGGGAGATTGGAAAAGATGAGGTGGAGCCTAACCGTACTACACAGGAGAAAGGATGTAGAGATAAAGGAAAGCCCAGGGGAATGTAAAAGTGGGAGGCTGCTGAAGGAAACCAGAAGGAGAAATTTGGAACAATATCAGAGAGAAGAAATGGAGGAAAGTTGTGTAGGCTGGGTTGACTAGAGAAAAATATACAGACATTATCTATCTATCTATCTATCTATCTATCTATCTATCTATCTATCTATCTATCATCTATCTATCTGCTTTATATCAAGAAGTAATTTTGCTTTATATTAAGAAGTATCAATAAAACATCCCAGACTAGTCCAACTCAAGTCCGTAAGTCTGACATTTGTCCCTAAGTCCCTCTTCAGACACCCGAAGCCACACGCAATGAGGCAGAATATAGGAACATCACTAGCCAGTGAATGAAAAGTCTTGTAGATCCAGTGGTGGTGGATGCATCTCCAGGGCTCGCACAGGAAGTTGAAGGCAGAGAGACAAAGAGGTTCCCAGGACCCGTGTTATGAGGAAGTCACACCCACAGGAGGCACCATCAGTTTGTGACCTGATTGACAGGCTAAAGTCTACCCTTACACTTCAAATGGACATGAAATTGTGGAACTATCACAAAAATAGTTTGCTGTCGTTGTTAGACATTCTGACTTTGAAATGCCGTGTTGTCTATAAACTCCATTCTCCCTAAAAATCTTCAATACAACCACGGTTCCCAAAAGTGCTTGGTAGAGACTCATGAAGGAGATGACCAGTACTGATTCGTGCCTTGAGGGAATCACACAGCACAAGCAGAAGCTTTCCAAGGGAGCCCCGGAGCATGACGTCAAGTTACGCACCAATGATGGTGCTAAAGATTTTTAAGTTACGAGGATGGTTCAGGAAAGAAAGAGACATTGCGGATGCACC